GTTTATCACATTAACACTTATATTTAACTATTTAGTTCTTTAGTATTTTGTGTTTGATTTTTATGGAAACAATTTTTTTACAACATTTGAAAGGAAAACTTAATTTTTATAATAGCCGCTGAATTTAACGAAAACTAATGGTCCTATTAATTACATTTAATGAAAATGTAAATGGTTTGCATTAATATTATTTGTTGTATACAATTATGATATTAAATATTAAATTTTTTAATATTATAATATTAAGTAGTAATTACATTAAATATGTTACAATTTATGTTTAAATTTAGTTTTTTTGAAGAATTAATTCCTTTAAAATATATTTACTAAATAATAATTAAAATCAACTTTTTTTTTATTAATATATATATTGTTAACTTTAAAATGATTTACAATACATTTTTATGATTAATAATTAAAGATAAAAAAATAGAAAACATATAGTAGTTGACTGAACCTCCCGTCTTGTTCACACTCAACATAGGTTCAAATGGTAACAATTATATTAAACTAAGATTTCAATATAAACTTTGTCTTAGCTCATGATAGAAATGTTCCATTTGGAAAGTCATTTTAGTACCGATTTAGCAGTGATTGTTTAATAACCTTATTTTTTTTAAAGATTTGATAATATCTTGTATTTAATCTTATTCAGCTATATGTAGTAAAAATATTAATCAAAATTTACTATCTTAAAGTTTTTATATAAGAGTTATATGATGATTCATATAATTTATATATCAGGGTAGAAAATAAAATAATTGAAATCAACAAATCTTCTTATAAAATTATATAAATATGTTGTATACATATATAATCTACAACGACTACATAACTATATATAAAATAATTTCTAGTTATCGGTCAAGTGCCTATATATTGATTATGCTACATCAAAGAAAAGAGTCATCATTTTCATGACTCACTACCAACCATCTAAGCAAACTTGATAATTTGTCATGCTCTTGTACAAAATATGATTATTACTGTTTCAACTATAAGGAAAAAAAAAGGATAAACTTGTGAAATGAAATCAACCTACATTCATAACATCAATTTACAATGATACAGCATAAAATAATTTTAATCAACATTTAATCTGACTTTACATATCAACTTCAACTTATAAATCACATCACCATACCAAAATCTCAAAAACCTATAACATCACAACATAATAAGAAAACTTGAGATCCATAAAACTTCTTACTAGTTTTTCTCTAAAATTTCTTAAAACATGAACTTATGGAGTTTATGTCTTAAGAAAAATCTTATATACTCTTCCAACTTAACTATACTTGAAACTATCTTCGAGACAACCTTTCTTAGGATTCCTTGACCACCAAAGTTCTCAAACAACATTATCAACAACTCACAATTAATCATTTAAGTAAAGTAAAATACCGGTAATATATAGTGTTATAGTTTCAAAATTAATTATTATGGTGAGCGAAAACAAATAATATAATCCTATGATCTATATATAAATAAAAAAATGCTTAAATTTTCTTGACTTAAATATAAACATATTTCAACCAAGACAACCTTATTTAATACTCTTAATAAAAAAAATATTTCTAAGATAATAAATAAAAATATTATTTACGATAAATATAATTAAAAATATTTTAATAAATAAAGTATAATGCATATTTTATATAAATATAGTCAGTGTTCTTACAGGAGATCGGTCATAGGGACGATCTGCTGGGCAAGATCGGTGAGCCTCCTTCGCTGGATACGGTTGTTGTTCTAAGTGGGGGTGGTACCTGCAAAAGAGACTCCGATGCTAAAGTTAGTGTTTGTGGATGTATGGGTCTCATATAAGTAATGCACGTACCTTAGTATGAATTAGGGTTTTGCTGGGCCTTGGGCCTGAGATCGGTTACGATTCGTTTAGATAGTGGGCCTTGTCTTGGCCGATGTCACGCGACGCATATCCTATGTCAAGACACACGGTGTTGCCGAGCTTGAGCTCGGCTTAGTTATCCGGATAGTACACTAGCCCCCCGAGCTTCGAAGACCATGGGTCGAGGAGTTAATGCCGAGCTCGACCAAGGGTCGTGACTCTTCGCGTACGCCTGTCTGTCATGACGCCATGTGTCATAACCGTCACCTCGTTCCCATAACGCATGGGCGGCGTGTTAATGGGAGGTGATGGTTATGCAATGATGGTGCACCTTGCCATGATGGGTCTCATTAAATGTGTCGTCAGTTGCGCTTCCTTGCTGACACGTGTCACAACTGTTTGAATTTTGGGAACCCTTTTTCTCTCTCTCGCGCCCTTTCCCTTTTCACTTTACTCTTTCGTTCTCTTTCTTTCTTGGCTTCTTGCGTACGTCGATCTTTGCACTTTTCCTTTCATCGTCTCCGTTTGCCTTTGTCGCCACCGTTTCTAGCAGTTTTGTCATGGTTAGGGTCAATTCCAAAGGAGTACCAGGTACTTCATTTTCTCTGTCCTCTCCTTCCGCTCTTTCCCCCTACTAGTCTTCTTCGTCTTTCTCCTCTTCTCCAATCTTTCCTGTTCTCGATGGCTGGTGGTAGTGGTGCTGCTCCGTCCGAGCCGGCCAAGGGTAAAGGTAAGGCGCGCGGCAAGGCGGTGGCCGTCGAGGCGGCCGCCGCCAAAAAGAAAAAGGGTGGGAACCAACCTAGGGAACCCTTCCCCGTCATCTCTGGCTACGAGTGGGTCAGGGGTGACATCGGAGAGTTCCGGAGCGTCTTTAAGTCTTTCTTGGAGATCAATGCGATGTAGAAATCGCATAGGATCTGCCAATCGTCCATCTCTAAGCTCATCCGGCTTGAACCTTGTCAACCCGGCGAGCGTGTATATATGGGGGGTACCTCTAATCCCCCATTCTTCTATATGTACCAGTTTTTCTTCAGGGATTTAGGCGTGTGCCTTCCCTTTACCCAATTTGAGTGCGATTTTTTGAATTTCGTCAACTCGACTCCTTACTAGTTGCACCCTAATAGTTGGGGTTTTTTGAGGGCTTTTCAGGTCTTGTGCTCGACCCTAGGGATAAGGTTATCTCTTCCTGTTTTTCTTCATTTTTACCAACTGAAATTGGGCGTGCCTCCCTATGGTTGGGTGTCTTTGAATGGGAGTAAGGCTGGGGGCTATTTTCCCTTTACTCCCAATCGTATAAGGGTTTCAAGCAGGAGTTTTTCCGGGTTCTGCCTGTGGAGGTCGACTCACTGGAAGATGAGGTGTTCCACTTTAGCGGGTTGCCGAGGTTCCCTCTCTACAGGCAGCAGGCTCCGGTCAGGTTTAACAGGTCGGCCAACCTTAAATTAACGACCTCGGATGCTGCTGTCATTAAGGACCTAGAAGCGCTTCCTCGTCCCTTGATTGCAAGCTCGTTTTGTCGCTTGCTAACTCGGCGTACAAGGAGAAGGGTCTAGAGAGTGAGTATCTCGTCTTTTTTAGTTGTCAGGTTCGTAAAATTTTCTTTTACTGATGTATTTGGCTTTTGTACTTGCAGGCATAATGGGAAGGAGCAAGTGGCACGAGCTGAAGTCTCGGTACAACGTTGTCGAGATTGAGGTCCCTGCGATGAAAGGAGAAGTGCAAAGATCGACGTACACAAGAAGCCAAGAAAGAAAGAGAACGAAAGAGTAAAGTGAAAAGGGAAAGGGCGCGAGAGAGAGAAAAGGGGTTCCCAATATTCAAACAGCCGTGACACGTGTCAGCAAGGAAGCGCAACTGACGACACATTTAATGAGACCCATCATGGCAAGGCGCACCATCATTGCATAACCGTCACCTCCCATTAACACGCCGCCCACGCGTTATGGGAACGAGATGACGGTTATGACACATGGCGTCATGATAGACAAGCGTACGCGAAGAGTCATGACTCCTGGTCTAGCTCGACATTAACTCCTCGACCCATGGTCTTTGGAGCTCGGGGGGCTAGTGTACTATCCGGATAACTAAGTCGAGTTCAAGCTCGGTAACACCGCGTGTCTTTACATCGGATATGCGCCGCGTGACATCGGCCAAGACAAGGCCCACTATCTAAACGGATCGTAACCGATCTCAGGCCCAAGGCCCAGTAAAACCCTAATTCATACTAAGGTATGTGCATTACTTATACGAGCCCCATACATCCACAAATACTAACTTTACCATCGGAGTCTCTTTTGCAGGTACCACTCCCACTTGGAACAGCAACCGTACCCAGCGAAGGAAGCTCACCGATCATGCCCAGCAGATCGTCCCTATGACCGATCTCCAATAAGAACAATCAGAATTAAATGTATTCGATTATTTTTTTTACTATAGATTTAATTATCTTTTTTAATTTATTTAAGTTTGCGTGAAATTAATTTCTTCTTCTTCTTCTTTATATATAAATCCAGAAAGAAGATATTAATCACTAAATAGTTGTCGAAAACATGTACCCACAATTATAAGGCTCTCGACTCTATTAAAGGGTATGTGAGTCCTATCCGGTACACATATAAATACAAAGTAATAGCTTTAGAGAGAGGGGAAAAAAAAAAGCATAAAAACAATGGAAGTTACACACATATCTCATTCTCAGGTTTTGGACCACTATTGAAGTTCAAGTAATTCACAGATTTCGTATACAACAGTTACAAATTCCGCGAACGAAAAACTGTATTAAGAACCCATCCCTAATTTGTACCAAATCCGTTATTATATTTTCCAAATTCTTAATTTAACTTTGATCCAATAAAAAATATAAAAAAGCGACTTCGTGACAATCAGCAGCCCTCATAATTGGAATCGAACCAACTTGATTTACTGTCACTTAATTTTTTTTAAAATCTCGATAACATTAAAAAAAAAAAATGAACACTTGACATTGTAGAAGACAATAGAGTTGGAGATGGAGTGAGCGAAGCATGGTGTGTTCCTGTTAGAGAAGAGACAAGAAACAGGAGTTAGAATTTAAGCATGTAAGAAAAGTAAAAAAAAATAAAAAAATAAAAGTAAAAGACAGTAGGAACTCGGAATCTCCAAAGTTTATTCTAGAATAAGCCACTAGTCCTCCGTCACTGTGCTCCACGCCGACCCTCAAAAAAGCTGTGGATGCAAGCGTAGACCTCTTTCTTTCTTTCTTTCTTTCTTCCAAAACCCTTCTGCCACCTGTTTTCACAAGAAAGTTCTTCCCACCCTTTTCTCCTTCTGTTTTGGAACCAACGCTTCTTCGATTATTATATCAAATTCCATCTTGGTGGGTAGCACCCTCTTATTCCTTTGGTCAACTCCGTTTACTATAAATATGACCACTCTTCCTTCTTTCTTCTTCAACTCCGATCACCTTTGAATGGATCATTCTAATTCCAATTCCAATTCCAATTCCAATTCCAACCACATCAACAACAACAATAACAACGGTTTCCTTCATCCCAACCTGCCTTCCCAACCTCCCACGTTGCCATCACGCGCTGCCATGGCTTCAGCTCCCACCTCCGACCCTAAGGTCGTCACCGGCACAGCCGGTTATATCCTCGAGGACGTTCCACATTTGACCGATTACATTCCCAATCTTCAAGTACGTTCCCGTTTTCATCCATCAACCATGCCTTTCTGTTTTTAGTCGCAGAAAAATAGAAACTGAAAGTAGAAAAAATTGAATTTTTGCATAACAAAGTTTTTTTCTCTCCTCTTTTCATTGTTTTTTAAGTTCAATTTCATTTTTTTTTTCTCTGGGTCTAAACGGGCTTACGCTACCGTGAAAAGCTGCTTCTTGGGTAACCGATCAGCGATCGTGTGTTCCTTGTTTTGTTCTGTCTTACCTTTCTCCTCGAACGACACGAATATTTTATCGTTATATAAACTAACGACTTTTTCTTTTTTCTCTTTTTCTTTGCCGACACCGAAAGTTAATAATTGAGAAACTTTCTGTTATCGGCTTCGGATCAAAAATGAATAATTAGTTCAACAAATTTCTTTTTTGGTGTAAATTTTTATCTTCTTTTTAGTGAAAGTAAGTAATGCTATGCTACGCAGCTTTAAGAGGAGAACAAAAATATTGATGGCAATTTACCTAATTTTTTTTGGTACAAGACTAATTAATGTGTGTTGGTGTTGCTGCAGACATACCCTAATCCTTTGCAAGACAACCCTGCTTATTCAGTAGTTAAGTAAGTGTTACTACTTCTTATCTTGGGTTGTAATTACTATTGCTAATTCAGTAATTCCCTTTACTTTGTTGCTTGATTGATGTTTGATGAATTCAATTTTACTTGCCGTTTTCCAGGCAGTACTTTGTGCATGTTGATGACAGCGTTCCTCAAAAGGTTGGTATTGGGTAACCCTTTTAAGTGACAATTTTAATTGATTATTATGAATCGATTTTAAGTAATTAGGAACGAATGGTAACTGTATTGGGTGAATTTTAGACTTTGATCCAAAATTTTGTCATCTAGAGTTGATGGGTTTTATATTTATGTTCGCAGCTTCGACACTGTTACCTACTTACCTTAATTTATATGTCATTCATCTCTTTTTTATTCCGACAGGTTGTTGTTCACAAAGATGGTGCAAGAGGGGTACATTTTAGGCGTGCTGGGCCTCGTCAAAAGGTATGTTTCTATTGTATATGGGTTTATATTTGCGTTAATTGATATGTTGGTACCTTACATTTTATTATGCTCTTCTAAAATTGGATCTTCAGGTGTATTTTGAAGCAGATGAAGTTCAAGTTGCCATTGTTACATGTGGGGGTCTGTGTCCTGGACTCAACACTGTGATTAGGGAATTAGTGTGTGGCTTACACCATATGTATGGCCTGAAGAAAGTTCTTGGAATCAATGTAAGTGAATGTATAAGGCATTTACTCTCTATCTTTCTCTTCTTTCTTTCTTTTTATTGTTATTTTTGGGGTGAGGGGCATTGAAACTCAAAACAAGTTCTGGGCTTGTTTCTTACTAATATCACCCCCTAGCTTTCATTCCTCTTTCTTTTCAAACAAGCCTTATTGCATAAGGGTGGTTATTTATGTGCTAACTTACACTTAACTTAAAAGGGACCAATGCATTATTCTTGTTTTGTGGCAACTAAACAATTTTTTCCTTGTTTGGTGTCACTTTAAAGTTATTTATTCTGGAGTTTATTTTCCACAATAACGATCAATTGCTATCATGCTTATTAACAAATGAAATTGTTGTGATGTGAAGGGAGGATACAGGGGTTTCTATGCTCGCAATACAATCACTTTAACTCCAAAAAGTGTGAATGATATACATAAGCGTGGGGGAACTGTCCTCGGAACCTCACGAGGTGGACACGACACCAAAAAGATAGTTGACAGTATTCAAGATCGGGGAATCAATCAGGTCTGTGTTCTTTCTAAGTTTCTATTTAGCCGTATATCTTTTTGTTTGTGTAGTAAGTACATCAGATTAATATCTCTGAATTTCAGGTTTATATAATTGGAGGAGATGGAACTCAGAAGGGTGCATCTGCAATTTTTGAGGTATCTATCATTTACATGACTCTATCAGACTTGTGGGTTTAGGAGAATGTAAATGAACTTTTTACCAAGATCATTTTGATAATTAAGATCTGTGAAATTATTGATTGAACCTGATTATCCATGCAGGAAGTCAGAAGGCGTGGTCTCAAAGTTTCAGTTGTAGGAATCCCCAAAACCATAGATAATGATATCCCGGTAAGTTTTTTCTTCTTCTACATTGTAGCTTTAAACCCCATTAGCATCATCAATTGATACAAATTATCTGCTGTCTCTTTGTTGCTTAATAGGTTATTGATAAGTCCTTTGGCTTTGACACTGCTGTTGAGGAGGCTCAACGAGCTATAAATGCTGCACATGTTGAAGCCGAAAGTGTTGAGAATGGCATAGGTGTTGTCAAGTTGATGGGTAGAAACAGCGGTATGTTTCTTAGTTAAATGCATATAATGCCTCCACTCACATGCTTAAGGGTTCAATTTTTAATTACGTTCAATAGCCTAAGAATAATGAGAAGCTTATATTTTGTTTCTTATTTAACCTGACAACTTATGCATGCAGGATTCATTGCAATGCATGCTACACTTGCAAGTCGAGATGTGGATTGTTGCTTAATTCCAGAGTCACCCTTTTACCTTGAAGGTCCTGGTGGACTTTTTGAATATATAGAGAAAAGACTCAAAGAAAATGGACACATGGTTATTGTGATTGCTGAAGGAGCAGGACAGGAACTTGTTTCTGAGAGTGTGCAGTCCATGAGCAAACAGGATGCTTCTGGAAACAAGCTTCTTCAAGATGTTGGCCTATGGATATCCCAAAAGATTAAGGTTGGATTCTTATTCATTCTATTTGCATTATTAGATGCCTCTTGATCTTTGTGACTGCATTATCCTCTTAATTTCTTCGTTAAATGTGAACTGAGCTTGTTTTCTTCCTTAAAACCATGCTTATGCTACTATTATTATTAGCTGATCTGTCTTGCTTCACCTACTATCAATGTCACCACTGTTTATATTTTCTAGGATTAAAAATCTATTTGAATACAAGTTTAAAAGAACTTTTTTGAATGTTTCTCTATTAAGACAAACTTCGTATTTTTAGTAAAGAAGCACTCAAAAGTTTTTATAAGCTTGTGTAACAAACTTATATCAGAATATCATTTAAGTGATAGAAATTAGACCTTACAGAATATTTTCTATATTATTATTTTCTGCTGCTTACCTTGAGCATGTTGACCTTCCAGGATCATTTTGCTGAACAGAAGACACTGCCCATAACACTAAAATACATAGGTTTGTAAAGATTAGACTTTCATGGAGTTGTATGTGTGCAAACACAATGAAGGGAGCAATGGCTGAAAGAGTAATGCATTCTTCTCTTTTCTGTTTAACAGATCCAACCTATATGATCCGAGCTGTTCCAAGCAATGCTTCTGACAATGTGTACTGCACACTTCTTGCTCAAAGTGCTGTTCATGGAGCAATGGCAGGTTACACCGGCTACACAAGTGGACTTGTCAATGGAAGACAAACTTACATACCCTTCTATGTGAGTTCATTTGCCATGATACTTGTTTGTTCCACATAATAAATAGGATTTAGGGATTGTATGAATAAACTTCTTTTTAAAAGAACTTCTAGCCAAAAAAATATGAAATAAGTTTCCGTATGTATAAATTAAAAATAAATTTTTGAAGAAACTAATATTAGAGAATTTTTTTATAAATTAACATATGTATAAGCTAATTTTGACTTATATAGAAATTCATCTCTTTTTTTTATTTTTTTATTTTTTTCTTTCTAAAAGTACTTCTAAATAAGTTTATAAGACATTTATTAACATTCAATAACCCTTGTAATAACATTTCATGTTTTGTTTCATTGTTATGCAGAGAATCACTGAGAGACAGAACCACGTAGTGATAACTGACAGAATGTGGGCTAGGCTTTTATCTTCAACAAATCAACCGAGTTTTTTGGGTGCCAAGGGTGTGAATGAAGGGAAGGAAGAAGAACCATCAAATCAGTTACCGGATGGACATTGTTCCAAAGAACTCAGCAGCATTTATCCCGCAGCATGCTAGTTGTTATTGTCATTTTGTGATGATGCGTTATACGTAGTATATATATAAGAAGAGCTATCTTTTTTGCCCTTGTTTGTCAATAAGATGGCTGTGGAAAACCCAAAACTCAGCCATACACGATGAAGATATTAATCAATATGTTGTGTTGTAGTCTGTAACTTTTGAATGAGACTGCTTTATCTGGAAATGAATTTCATTATTAAAAATATCTCATCTATAAGCCCATTATTTGTTATTAGTAGTATAACTCTTCATATATAGACTGTTAAAAATAAATTTACACTACTCAGCCTCTTCGGATTTCAGATAGAAATGGTTAACCAAAAACCCATCTCAATGTTTCTTCTTGCATACTTATCTCGTTAAACGTGTGGAAATGTGTGTTGCCAACATAAAAGACATGCACTTAATGATTCCATTTATGCTCAAATAATTACTATAATATTATCTTTTAATATATATTTTTTTTAATAAATAAGTACAAGTTATGTGTCATTTTATAAATATGTAATTAATAGAAAATATAAACATGTATGATGATATGTAAGTTTGGTTTGAATTGGATTTAATTGATTGTCAAATGTTATTATTATATTAAGTGAACTTCTTCGTCTTGTTCTTATTCGCATAGAAAGCTCCCTGGTCAAAATTGTTGAGCATGGCATGCGATCAACCGAAGGTTTTTGACAACATATGGAAGCAAAAGAAAATAGTTTCTTATATGAATTGCGAGAGAATTGAGATTCCAGAACTTGATGACCATTTTCAGTTTCCAACTTTAGAAGCAGCCTCTCAAGTTTTTGACTTCTAGAAATTAGAAGACGTGTGTGACCAAATGTCTCTCTAGTGCACTACACGAAACACCCACTCTTTCATAATCAAATTTCGTGCTTCATCTAAATTCTACTTAGGTTATCCCATCATGATGATGGAAATACCCAATTGAAATAAATGCGTAATATCAATATGTCATCAATTCAATTCATTCTCGTCAATCAAACAATTTCAAACATTGCGCCATCTCTGTTGCAAATGAAGTTTATGGAAAGCAGTTTTGCTTCTCGAAATAGGGTGTCAATGTGGGTTACCTTCAATTGCAAAAACGGGTAACTTACCTTTCATAACATAAAAAAACAAGCTAAGCTTAGTCTTAAAAAAAAAAAAACTTAAGCTTGAAAAAAAAAATAAAGAAAGAAAGGGAGTGGTGATAGACAGAAAAAAAAAAAAAAAAAAAAGGTAAGACACAGAGAAAATCAACCCATAATTTTTTAAGATTTAACTTCATATAAACTGGGTTTATAAGTAAAATGAATAACCAATGAAAACAACTTAACCCACTCCAAAATATCATATTTAACTTCACATAAACTGGGTTTATAAGTAAAATGAATAACCAATGAAAACAACTTAAATCAGAGGTGTAAAATGAGTTAATTCAACTTAGACCGAACTTGATGAACTAAGGTGTGTAAAGTTGGTTAAATTAGATTAAACCATATATTTGTGAGTCACTTGTTTATTAGTTCAACTTGACTTGTCATCTTATCGATTCGGGCCAAATATATTTATTTATTTATTTAAAAAAATCATTATATTAAATAGGCTTAATTTTTTTGGGACAATATTTACGAGGAAAATTTATTAAGAAATAATTATTTTTATAATTTATGATTTTTAATAAATTTTTAAAAAATTAAAAATACATTAAAGAATGTATTATTATTATTTCCCTTTGTATAATTGATTATTTTTTATTTTATAGATTTCTTATATGTGTTTAATATTGTTCTTGATTAGAATTATAATTTTATTTTAATCACTTACATTCATATTTAATTAAAGAATGTATTATATGGTTATACCATGAAATTCCAATTTTATAATCGATAAATAATTACTATAAAATTTAAAAACTATATTTAAATTTTTTTTGTTTTTTTAAAAGATCATAATGCAAAAAAAATCTACATCTAAAATCAAAATTAATTATTAACTTAATTTTTAAAAGTAACATTAAAAATTCCAATTAACTAGTGCAAAGTTTTATCATTATTTTAAGAATGATAATAAGTTAAATAAGGTCAAATTTTAAATATATTGATCAGACTTGTTTAATAAAATTAAGTTTTATGACCTATTAATTTGTTTAAAACCTTATTTTATGTTATGTTAACAAGTCTGTAAACTTAATTTTAAATAAGTCAACAAATCTATTTTTAAATATGTGTGAGAGTTTTTTTTTTCTTAATTTATACAATAAAAAATAGTTTATTTTATTATTATTAAAATTTAAATTTTGAAAGAAAAAAAAAATTAAAGTAAGAGGGACAACTTATATATACCCATATACAATCATGCATGAACTGTGAAAAAAGAGGATAATCATATATAAAAAAAATTCTAAATATTCTTTATATCCCATTTGAAATAGTCTAAATAATTAATCATGAAAATGAAGGAAAAGAACAAGGAAAAATATTGCTAGTTTATTTTATTTTTATTGAATGAATGGGGCTTAAAAGCTCAAATTAGAAACCACGAAAGAAATTTATTACTAAAGTATCATCTTACAAAGCAAAAGAAAGTATAGAGGGAGGGTGATCAAAAACATATAAACCCTCCTAGTTACAAAAGCAAAGATTGGCCATACAACCAATTACTTGGTTAACTTCTTTAAAAATATGATTACACTAGAATTCTTGCTCTAAATATATCAATTCATTAATAGAATTTACAAGTGTTGCACAATTGTGAGTGTTACAACATATCTCATTGAGAAATTTGACTGCTAGTGTTGAGTTATATTCAATTTTGACATTCTCGTTGAGCTCTCTATTCTTAATAATGAGAATTCCAAAATAGATCACCCACATTTTGGCTATTGCCTAAGCTTGTGACTCCACCACAAACTGCCTCCTTTCTTGTATTCCAAATGACTTCATCACAATTCAACTTGATAGACTCGGGGCTACGGGTGAGAAAATGGGTCGTGGCCTACGGGTCAATTCGTAAAAAATTAGTGGGCTGGACCTATCATGCTAACCCACTAACTCGCCAAGCTTACCCTGCTAACTCGTTGGGCCAAATGACGGGCTGGTCCGTCACAACTTGCCATCCCACATTTGAGGTTCTTGTTAAAAAAATAGTAATTTATAAGTTTGTAATTTGGTTTTGATTTTGTTGTAAGTGAACTAATTTCTATTTGATTTAGTTGTAAGTTTGTAATTTGTTTTTGTTGAACATTTATTATGCACAATATGTATGCATTTTCAATTTCATGTAGTTATATTTATTTATTTGTAGTAATTTTTTTATTTGAACATAAGATACATTTTTTTTGCAATTTTTTTAATGGTATGTGGACTAGCCCGCCAGCCCGCCCTTAGACGGGGCAGGCTAACATTCCCAACCTGTTTTTCAATGATGGGCTAGCTCGACTCGACCTATTTTTTGCGAGCCATTGGCGGGCTAGGCCAAAACGGGTCAGACTGACCTTTTTTGCCACCCCTACCTGTGGGGAAGGAGTTCTATCTAGTAGAAAATGATCTATATGGATCATCCGAGGGTGCTATACTAACTAGACCCTTAAAAACATTGTCAATTTTATTACATCTTTTATATATAGATCTAACTAGTACATACTTACTCAACATGTAAAATGTAAGTTCAGTGAAAATGTAAAAAAAAAAATAGATAATTTGATTTTATTTTAATTACAAATTTATTTATTTATTTATATTGTTAATAATGTAATATATATATATATATATATATTAAATTTTATTATATTATATAATTAAATAATTTGATTTATTAAACTTAATAATTTTTTTTTATAAATTTAAGTCTAATCTTTTAAATAAATATTTTTTTTAAGATTTAAATTTTACCTTTTTATTAAATAAATCACGTAAAATTTTAAACAGATTAGATACACTCTTATTTAAGGGCTAATGTATTTTCAATCTTCAACTCTCATCATACATTAGCAATAAATATAATTAATTAAAAAATTGAATATATTTTCTTTTTGTGAGATAAGAATTAAAATATTAAAAAGAGGTGAGTATTTTAGAATAAAAAAATAAAAGTAAGTGTGGAATAAAATGAATAAGAAGGTGTTGGGTTTGGGAGCGAGAGAGGGGGTTAGGGCAGAATCAGAATGGGGATCCGATTCGTGTTGATGGTGAACAAGCAAGGCCAAACTCGTCTTGCTCAGTACTACGAATACCTCACTCTCGATGAGAGACGCGCCCTCGAAGGTGAAATCGTTCGCAAATGCCTCGCCCGCAACGAGCAACAGGTTCTTCAATTTCCATTTCAACCACCTAGATCCACAATTCAAATCCATGCATGTGCGATTCAACTATATCTCATTCTTTCTAATTCTCACTCATTAATTTTCCTCATGCTTCATCCACAGTGTTCCTTTGTTGAGCACCGCAACTACAAAATAGTGTATCGCCGCTACGCCTCTTTGTTTTTCCTCGTTGGAGTCGACGACGATGAGGTAAACAAATCCTTTACTCTATGTTCGCCTTTTTTCGATTAGTTCGTCCAAATCCGAGTAAAATCATGTGCAAACTAAGCAACTTTAGAACATGAATAATTGTGTGAAATACTCTAGTTATTAAGTTGTTGCTTATGAAGTTAAGTGTCATCTGCTCTAACACATAAATTGTCTAAAGAAATTGGGAGGATATTTCACTTTGCTGGAAAATATGAACAGACTGAACTGGTGCAATTTTTATATGTATATTACTTTGATTTAGCTCTCCAAAGTGAGTAAAATTTAAGTCTAATCTTTTAAATAAATATTTTTTTTAAGATTTAAATTTTACCTTTTTATTAAATAAATCACGTAAAATTTTAAACAGATTAGATACACTCTTATTTAAGGGCTAATGTATTTTCAATCTTCAACTCTCATCATACATTAGCAATAAATATAATTAATTAAAAAATTGAATATATTTTCTTTTTGTGAGATAAGAATTAAAATATTAAAAAGAGGTGAGTATTTTAGAATAAAAAAATAAAAGTAAGTGTGGAATAAAATGAATAAGAAGGTGTTGGGTTTGGGAGCGAGAGAGGGGGTTAGGGCAGAATCAGAATGGGGATCCGATTCGTGTTGATGGTGAACAAGCAAGGCCAAACTCGTCTTGCTCAGTACTACGAATACCTCACTCTCGATGAGAGACGCGCCCTCGAAGGTGAAATCGTTCGCAAATGCCTCGCCCGCAACGAGCAACAGGTTCTTCAATTTCCATTTCAACCACCTAGATCCACAATTCAAATCCATGCATGTGCGATTCAACTATATCTCATTCTTTCTAATTCTCACTCATTAATTTTCCTCATGCTTCATCCACAGTGTTCCTTTGTTGAGCACCGCAACTACAAAATAGTGTATCGCCGCTACGCCTCTTTGTTTTTCCTCGTTGGAGTCGACGACGATGAGGTAAACAAATCCTTTACTCTATGTTCGCCTTTTTTCGATTAGTTCGTCCAAATCCGAGTAAAATCATGTGCAAACTAAGCAACTTTAGAACATGAATAATTGTGTGAAATACTCTAGTTATTAAGTTGTTGCTTATGAAGTTAAGTGTCATCTGCTCTAACACATAAATTGTCTAAAGAAATTGGGAGGATATTTCACTTTGCTGGAAAATATGAACAGACTGAACTGGTGCAATTTTTATATGTATATTACTTTGATTTAGCTCTCCAAAGTGAGTAAGTAATCACAATTGTTGATCAGAAAATTAACAACTCATTTTTTATTTTCTCATCAATGACTTGGATTTAGCTTCTCTATAATGATTTTCATATATACTAGAAAACAACTTTATACAACTGGCTGAAATTTGTTGAAATTCATAAAATTGTCTTGATCTCATTCCTGTACGTAGTTTTCAATAAAATTTGATCAATAAGAAAGTGTTTTTGAAAAAGTGTGTCACTAACACTTTTCAAATAGGTAATCACAGTTGTTGATGAGGAAATCAAAAATCAATTGTTGATATTCTAACACATTTATCATCTGTTTTTTGTGTATGTATATGTAACATCGACTACTGATTTTCTAGTTAACTATCGAGATTACTTATTTTACCCTTTAAAACGAATTGTTTGCTTTAGAAGAACCGGATCAACATTTCTTTTGTGTAAAAAATGTGTTATATTTCAAATTCTTCATGATTTCTTATTCTACCTTCTATGGATAATGTTGCAGAATGAGCTGGCTATTTTGGAATTTATACACCTCTTGGTTGAAACCATGGATCGTCATTTCGGCAATGTGGTAAGTCCTGCATTCCAAACTTCTCTGTTTTCTTCCTTTCTATTTTGAGTGTAGATTCAAGGAGATTTTTTTTGATATTTCTCGTCCAATTGTACTTGCAGTGCGAGCTAGATATTATGTTCCATTTAGAAAAGGCACATTTTATGTTGGAGGAAATGGTCATGAATGGTTGTATTGTGGAGACAAGCAAATCAAATATTCTGACTCCAATTCAGCTGATGGATAAAACATCTTGAAGGAGGAAAAAGAAAGAATGCTCAGTGATTAATGTATCATTGTTGACTCACTGCTTTCAATTTCATTGTGTACAACAAATTAGGACACATAGGACCGCTTGTTTAGGCTTAAAAAAGTGATTTAAAAAAAATGATTTATTTTTAAGAGTGTGAATGAAAATACGAGTGTAACTTTGGTTTTATTTTCCTTGCCCCTTTTATGAATGATTATTCACTTTTCTGTTTATTCAAATGGCACTCGGTATTAGCATAATCCCTGACAATAAGAAAAAAAAAGCTAAATTACTCGGTTGGTCTCCCAAAACTATTTTAGAATTTTCAAGTTGGACCTTGTACTATAGCCTTTTTTAGTCATTTTTGTAATATTTTTTAATTGAGTTCCTAGAGTTTTGAAAACTGCCATGATTTTAAGATGTCAGGAACTAATTTCAAGACTTATAATGCTCAATAATCTTATATTAAATATGAATTTTATAAATTTAATCGTTAGATTGAAAGTTTTTTATTTTTAAATTATATATACAAAATTGTATATTAATTCAAGATGATTTGATATTTTATTTTTATAAAATAAAATTAATATAATATATTTATTTTAAAATATA